GACAGGCCTGGAACAGCCCCTGGGGCAGCAGACGGGACCAGGCAGCCTGGCTTCCCCTGACCCGGCCACCAGCCGCCTGGGCTGCGGCACCGTCCCGGGCACTTTCCCCAGCCCCAGAGGCCCCTCCCTGGCAGCCATGACCCTCTCTCCACAGCCTGGTGGGTGCCAGCCTGAGTGCCCCGCAGCCCTCAGCGTCCCCCGCTCCACCCCCGCTGCCCCCCGCCAGGTCCCGGCTCCATGGGAGGGGGCGGTTACAGGTTTCTGCCGCTCCCGGTCCCAGACGGCAGCTGCAGTGCCTTAGGCCTCCCCACGCAGGCGCCCGGGGAATCTGCTGAACAGGAGGGTCTCGGGGCGCACACTGACCCGCGGGTCCCGGTGGCCGGCAAGCGCAGCCCCAGCTCCGTCCCCGCGCCCACACGTGCCGGCCACCCAGGCTGTGCCGGCGCAGGGCCAGTGCGGGTGACACCTGCCCAGGCCCTGCCCTGCCGGTGCCCGGGCCCCGGGGCCGGACCGGGGATGAGCGGGAGGAGCGGGCTGGCAGGACATCCTGGCCGCCCTTATCCGCCCGCCGTGGCCAAAGGTGGGCCCTTATCGCCCCGATGGCTCCCGCTATCAGTGCTGTAAACAGGCGCCCGGAGCGAGCTGTCCCCCGGCCCCGCGGGGGGACGCTCAACCCCATCTGTTTATGGGGCTGTTTATGGAAACAGCCCATGGACAGATAAACAGATGGCACCTGGCACAGTCAGCACCCACCCACCCCCACCTTTGAGCCTCCTAGAGGCGCGCCCCTTCCCCCCCGACCTGTGAAGGCCGGGACTCGCCCCGGCCCTCAGAGCCCCTCGGACAGGCACTGACAGGCACTCCTGCAGGAGAGGCCCCTGGAAGGTTCCAGGCCTGAGTCCCAGCTGCAGCCGTGGGAGCGGTGAGGACCACGGGCGCAGGCTGAGGGGACCTGACAGACTGGCTGTGTGGGAGCCGGGGAGTCGCAGGGGCCCGACGTGCAAAGGGGGTGGCAGCACGCCTGGGCACTGCGGCCCCGCCTGTCTCCCGGGGGCAGAGGGTGGGGAATCAGGCATGTGGGCCCTGACGGAGGGGCCCTCCCGTGGGGGAAGCACAGGGCGCTGGCCCGGGAGGGAGCCCAGAACCCAGCTCCCAGCGATGGCGGGGAGGGCTGGGCCAGCGCGCATTCTAAAACTGTGGTTCGGGCCCAGCCACAGGGCTCAGGGGCTGAGCGGCGACCTCTGAACCAGGAGGTCATGGTCAATTCCTGGTCAGGGCACAGGCCCTGGTTGCAGGCTCCATCCCCAGTGGGAGGCGTGCAGGAGGCAGCTGATCCATGATTCTCTCATCATTGCTGTTTCTCTCTCTCTTTCTCCCTCTCTCCCCTTCCCCATCTCTCTCTCTCTTTCTCTCTCTCTCTCACTGGTTCCCTCCCCCCTCCCCCATCCTCCCCACAGGCAGTCCAGCTGCTGACCCAGGACACAGTCTGCAGGTCCATGGGGACCTCACCGCCAGGCCGCCCCCCCAGGACACACCAGCCCCCCAGAACCCCAGTCCCCCCACCCAGAGCCTGGAAAGGGTGGCCCAGCCAGAGACCCCCCCTGCCCCCCCCCCAGGCTGAGGGAGGGGGAGGCTGAGGGAGGGGGGAAGCTGAGGGAGGGGGAGGCTGAGGGAGGAAGAGGCTGGGGAAGGGGAGAGGCTGAGGGAGGGGGGAAGCTGAGGGAGGGGGAGGCGGAGGGAGGAAGAGGCTGGGGAAGGGGAGAGGCTGAGGGAGGGGGAGGCTGAGGGAGGGGGAGGCGGAGGGAGGAAGAGGCTGGGGAAGGGGAGAGGCTGAGGGAGGGGGAGGCTGAGGGAGGGGGAGGCGGAGGGAGGAAGAGGCTGGGGAAGGGGAGAGGCTGAGGGAGGGGGAGGCTGAGGGAGGGGGGAAGCTGAGGGAGAGGGAGGTGGAGGGAGGGGGGAGGCTGTGAAGGGGAGAGTCCAGGTCCCGCGGAGCACTGTGACCAGCACATAATCCTGTTAAAATATTAATCCTCGCTCAGCCGAGGCGGCAGCTGAGATAAAGCCCGGAGAAGTGATGAAAGTCCGGCTGATACCAGGACCTTCCCGATAAGCCTGCCGCCAAGGTCGGGCGGCCCCGGCCTCCGGGGGGGAAGGGGGGGGCGGCTCCTAATCTCTCCCAGGCTGGAGCCCCCGCCCAGGCCTCGCAGTGGCCGGCCAGCCAGGGCGCGTCCTGTCCGGAGGGTGTCCTGCTGCGCCGGCTGAGGACCAGCAGGGTCAGTCGGGCGCGGCCCTGGTGGGACCTGCTCATCCCGCCGTGTTCCTCCCTTCCCGCCCGAGGTCAGGGCCGCCTCCTGGGCGCCGGGGTCCGTGCGGGTCCACTGGCACCAGGTTGGGAGGAGAACCGGGCAGGGACCCGGCGCGGGCCTCGTCTCTCTGCCCAGCAGAACCGGGCCCAGGGCTGGGCGGCTGGTTCTTGCCAGCCCGGCCCCCACGTGGCTCACCGGCTCGGGGTCCATGTGCACCCTGTCCTGCAAACCTGCCTCCCAGCTCGGCGGTGACCGCTCCAAACTCTGACCCGCCCGGCCGCTGGCTCGGGGCTGCGTGTGGACCCGGGACCAGGAGGTCACGGTTGGATCCCGTCAGGGCACAGGCTGGTGCGGGCTCCGTCCATGCCTCTCCCGTCACTGATGCTTCTCTCCCTCCTTCTCCCTTCCTCTCTCTGACAACCACAAACACGTATCTTTAAGAAGACCACCCCCCCCAACAAAAGGAGACCACCCCAGCTGGGGCCCAGCCCGGCCGTGACCTGTGACATGGCAGCCCCTGGCACATGCCCTGCCCTCCTGCCCTGGCACAGCCAGCGGGTAAGTCACCGCCTGCACAGCAGCCCTCGCCCACATGGCCTTGGTGCTGAGAGCGCCACAGCCCCGGGACCCCCAGTGCTCTCCATGGGGCTGTGGTCCCGCCCCAGGCAGCACCCCATCTTCGCTGGCTGGGGAGCCTCTGAGCTCAGAGCACCAGAGGGAGCGAGAATCAGAAAGGGGTGCAGCAAACCTGGGGTGTGGCAGAGGCCCAGGGGGGCACATCCTATTCCCCCCCCCATTGGCCAGCGTGTGGTCACATGGCCAAGCCTCACTGCAGAGAATGCTAGGAAATGTAGTCTTTCTGGTTGGTGGCCATCTTGTGAAGACAGTGGATTTTACATTAAATTTAATGTTAGGTGTTAGATTATATTCACATAAAATCCAGGCTCCCCTGTGGCCTGCCTCCTGGTTTCAGCCTGAGCACGCCCCCCCCATGGCCCTGCTCCTCCCGTGACCTGCCCTCTGACCCCGTCACCGCAGCTGCCCGGGTGGGAACTGGACGTCCCCAGAGATGCTCCCTTTCCTTCGCTCCCACGGCCACGGCCACGGCCACGGCCACGGCCTGAGGGCGGCACACTCATCGCCGCCCAGCACCCAGCTCCCTGCCGGCCTCTCGCCCGCCACCTGCCCTGCCCAGGCTGCCCTCCTACCTAGACCCTCGGGCGCCAGGGCCTGCTCACCGCTCCAGGGCTCCGGACGCTCCAGGGCTCCGGATTGCACACGTGGCCTCGGCCCCGCCGGCCCTGCCCCCATCCTACCCGCCCCAATCACCCTCCCAGGAGGCCCACCCACCGCCCACCAGGTGCCGCCCGCAGACACCCCATCTGGTCCCCTGCCTCACTCCCTGCGTCCTGTCCTGCCCGTGTCCTCCTTTCGTTGTGTGCCCACCAGGTGGACGGACACACAACGCCCGCTCCCTCACTGCGGGGCCCCCAGGACTTACAGCGGCTCCGTCAGGTGGGAGGGGTGAGTAACCAGTGTCACCCCAATAAATTCAATTTTTAAAAAAGGGTGATAAGCCGAAACCGGCGTGGCTCAGTGGATAGAGCGTCGGCCTGTGGACTGAAGGGTCCCAGGTTCGATTCCGGTCAAGGGCATGTACCTTGGTTGGGGGCACATCCCCAGTGAGGGGTGTGCAAGAGGCAGCTGGTCGATGTTTCTCTCTCATCGATGTTTCTAACTCTCTATCCCTCTCTCTTCCTCTCTGTAAAAACTCAACAAAATATTTTTTTAATAAATAAAAAAAATTTTAAAAAGTGTTAAGTCCTCACCATTGTGGCTCAGTGGATAGAGCATCAGCCTGCAGACCAAAGGGTCCCAGGTTTGATTCCAGTCAAGGGCATTAAAAAAAAAAATTGGTAGGGAGAGAGACAGAGATGGAAAGATAGGGAGTGAGAAACATAAAGATAGATAGAGAGAGAGAGAGAGAGAGAGAGAGAGAGAGAGATAAAGAGACAGAGAGAGAGAGAGATAAAGATAGAGAGAAATAAAGATAGAAAGATAGGGAGAGAGGAGAGAGGAGAGAGGAGATAGTCGCTAAACCATGCCCCGGCCAGGGCTCCCTCCTCCCCACGGGCACAGGTGACAAGGGCACCCCTCTCTGAGCACCTTGCTGACGAGGCTGCCTGTGCAGCGCCCCGAGGACCCACAGGGCCCGGAGGGAAGGCACGGCTCTGCTGACCCGGCCTCAGGGTGGCTTCACCCGCCCGGCCCAGGACACCCCGCACCCAGGAAGCGAGGGCAGGAGGCCGTCCCAGGCTGGGCTCCCTAGCCCTGGAAGCCCCCTCCCCTCCCCCCGTTTCCACATGGCCCTGGCCCAGGCAGGCCCTGGCCCACACCCCAAAGGCCCCCCCCTCCGACTTCCAGGCTGTAGGTCAGAGAGTGGGGCCCGGGACGGAGAGAGCGGGCAGGGGCCAGGCCACCCCGGGGAGGGCCCCTCTGCTCTCTGATCCTGGGGCGCCCCCCCCCCCCCCGCACTGTGAGGAACACGCCCACGGGGGAGGAGCGTGGCCAATAAAGGCAGGGGCCACGGGCCACGGGCCACGGCCTCTGCCCGAGCCTCGGAGAGCAGATCAGACGCCGGCGACCCTGGGACTTTGCTCCCCTCGCTCCTGCCCCGGCGCTCAGACAGCCGCCATGAGCCGCCCGGCCGCCCTCCTGGCCGTGGCCGCGGCCCTGGCCGCCCTCCTCGCCCCGGGGGCGGGCAGGCCCGTCGGCCGGCAGGGCTCCCGGCACAAGCTGCTCCTGGTGTCCTTCGACGGGTTCCGCTGGGACTATGACCAGGACGTGGACACCCCCAACCTGGACGCCATGGCGCTGGACGGCGTGAAGGCCCGCTACATGACCCCCGCCTTCGTCACCATGACCAGCCCCTGCCACTTCACCCTGGTCACCGGTGAGTGCCGCTGCGGAGGGGCCGGGGCTGAGGGGCCAGGAGAGCGGGGTGCACACAGCCCTGCCCCAGGGGCCCCGTGTGGGGGCAGAGGGGTTCAGGAGGGGACACTGGCTGGGGAGACAGCGTGGCCAGCAGCCCTCAGCATTGGCAGCAGCTGGTCTCTCCGGCAACGGTGACCTCAGCCCGGGGGCAACCCAGGAGGCCTTCCCGGAGGAGGTGAGTGTGGTCGGGACGCAGAGATGAGTCTGGGGCGCCAGCTTCATCTTTTCTATTTATTTTAAATCCTCACTCAAGCCAAAACCGGTTTGGCTCAGTGGTAGAGCGTTGGTCTGCGGACTGAAAGGTCCCGGGTTCGATTCCGGTCAAGGGCATGTACATGGGTTGCAGGCACATCCCCGGTAGGGGGTGTGCAAGAGGCAGCTGGTCGATGTTTCTCCCTCATCGACATTTCTAGCTCTCTATCCTTCTTTGCTCCTCTCTGTAAAAAATCAATAAAATATATATTTAAATCCTCACTCGAGGCAGCAAATATGGGACACGGGACAAGGATATTTTTCCATTGATTTTTAGGGAATGGAAGAGAGAGAAAGAGAGAGGGAAACCTTGATGTGAAAGAAACACATCGATTGGTTGCCTCCTGCACACACCCCGAGCAGGGCCCGGGCCAGGGAGGAGCCTGCAACTGAGGTACGTGCCCCTGACCGGAATCGAACTCAAGACATGTTGGTCTGCAGGACAACTCTATCCACTGAGCCACGCCAGCCGGGGCGTCCCTCCATCTGAACCTAACGCTTACACCTGCCATGACCCCGTGTGCAAACAGGCCGCCTCTGAGACGCTGGTGGCACGGCTTTGGGGCGGTTCATCCCTGTAGGCGCTCGTCCTCGCCCGCACTTCGGTGGCCTCCGCCCCGGCACACACACACCGCCGGCACCGGCTGTCACCCCCACGTCCCCCCACAGCTCCTCTCGGCCGCACGTGTCCGGGGGAGGGAGAGCCCCGCACGCCCTCAGGCCCCGCCTCCTGGGCCCTCGCTCCCGTGCATTCCCCACGCAGCATGAGCTGGCAGGCTGCTCGGGACCTGCACTGTTCGTCCGGACGCCTGCCTGGCTCTCTGCCGAGGCTGGGTCCCCTCTACGTCATCAGTCCCTCCCAAGAGCCACGCAGGCGCAACCAATCTTTTTTTAATTGTTATTGATTTCAGGTGGGAGGGAGAGGGAGCGAAACATCCGTGATGAGGAGAATCATGGATCGGCTGCCTCCTGCACTCCCCCTACGGGGGACCGAGTCTGCAACCTGGGCCTGTGCCCTTGAGAGGAATCGAACCCAGGACCCTTCCGTCTACAGGCCTATGCTCTATCGCTGAGCCACACTGGCCAGAGTCACACTGATCTTTTGCTAAAACCAACGAGGCTGCAAGCGACGCCTCCCAGGGGGTCCTCGGGGGCTGGGGTGGGGCAGGGTGCGCTGGGCCAGCGGGTCGGAGCGCGTGGCCGTGGCCGTGGCCGTGGCCGTGGCCGTGGTGACGGAGCCCCGCCCATTCCCTCCGCCTCCACGCAGGCAAGTACATCGAGAACCACGGCGTGGTGCACAACATGTTCTACAACACCAGCAGCAAGCTCAAGCTGCCCTACCACGCCACGCTGGGCGTGCAGCGCTGGTGGGACAACGGCAGCCTGCCCATCTGGATCACCGCCCAGAGGCAGGTAATGCCTGCGCCCGGCACCCGCGCGGGCAGCCCCCCGCCCCGGGGCCCAGCCCCGCACAGGGCGCCCCACCCTCCCAGACACACAGAAGCCACCTGTGGGCCCTGTGGCACTTGGGGAGGGGGTCGCACGGGGAAAGGACCCCACTCGACACAAAGGCGTGTGACCTCAAAATGGCTTTGTCCCCTCCCCGAGGGGCAAAGGGAAAAGAGAGGAGCCGCCGTGTCAGCCCAGGAGTCCCATCGCCCCAAAATGTCTGGGGGGCTTCCGGGTGTAGCTCCTTGTCAATGGCGTCCAGTGGAGGGCACCCCTTAAGTCTGAGCCCCCCGTGGCTATCGGGCCCCACCCCCAACCCCACAGCCCCACCTACCCCAGTCCAACCCCGAGGCTTAGACGTTGGCCTGGGGGTTGCACGGGCAGCCGGGGGAGGTGGGTCTGGGTAAACAAAGCAGCAGGTGGTTGACGGGCAGACGGACGGATGGACGAGAGGGTAAAGGCTGGAAGGACAGCGTAGGGCACGGACGACGGGCTGACGCTCCAGGGCGTGGACGTGGCAGGGAGGGGCCGGGCTGCAGGCCGGGAGGAGGGCTCTCGGCACCGGAGCCTCCGGAGCGCCCTGGCCGTGGCAGCGAGGCCTGGCATGGCGGGCACTGGGCCTGGCGCTATCTATTGGAGCGGAGTCCACCGCCCTGGCCCCGCCTCCGGAGGCTCTGCCCGCGATAAGAGCCTGGCAGACAGGGAGGCGGCGCCCAGCTGGTGTGGCGGCGGCTGAGCGGCGGCCCAGGAGCCAGGAGGTCGCTGGTTGGACTCCTGGGTTCCTGGTCGGGGCGCAGGCAAGCGTTGTGGGCGCAGCCCCCGTGGGGAGTGTGCAGGAGGCAGCCGATCGAGGATATTTCTCTCATCGATGTTTCCCTCTCTCTATCCCTCTCCCCTCCGCTCTCTCTAAAAATCAATAAACACATATGATTTTTAAAAAGAATAAGTTCAGCCCTAACTAATGTGGCCCAGTGGATAGAGCGTCGGCCTGCGGACTGAAAAGCCCCCGGGGTTCGATTCCGGTCCAGGGCATGTACGTTGGTTGCGGGCACATCCCCAGTCGGGGGTGTGCAAGAGGCAGCCGATCGATATTTCTCTCCCATCGATGTTTCTAACTCTCTGTCCTGCTCCCTTCCTCTCTGTAAAAAAAAAATCAATAAAACATATATATATTTAAAAGCATAAGTTCAGGGTTGCATGATAAAAAGTCAATCTACCACAAACCATCTTAGATAAAAAGAAAAAAAAGGCTGGGCAGCAGTGGGCGTGGCAAAGGAGGGCGGGGCGGGGCGGGGCGGGGAGGGAGGGGCCGGGGGCTGAGCCTCAGGCTGCCCCCTCCCCCCCGCAGGGCCTGCGGGCCGGCTCCTTCTTCTTCCCGGGCGGCAACGTCACCTACCAAGGCGAGGCGGTGACCCTGAGCCGCAAGGAGGGCATCCTGCACAACTACAAGGACGAGGCGGAGTGGCGGGCCAACGTGGACACGGTGCTGCGCTGGCTCACGCAGGACGGCCTGGACCTGGTCACGCTCTACTTCGGGGAGCCCGACTCCACGGGCCACCGCTTCGGGCCCGACTCCGCCGAGCGCAGGGCCATGGTGCGGCAGGTGGACCGCACGGTGGGCTACCTGCGCGACGGCATCCGGCGCAGCGGCCTGGAGCGCAGCCTCAACCTGGTGGTCACGTCCGACCACGGCATGAGCGCCGTGCGGAAGGCCGGCGACCTGGTGGAGCTGCACCGCATCCCCGGCTTCTCCTTCAAGGACGTCGACTTCGAGCTCCTGGACTACGGCCCCAACGGGCTGCTGCTGCCCAAGCCGGGGCGGCTGGAGCGGGTGTACGCCGCGCTCAAGGGCGCGCACCCCAGGCTGCACGTCTACAGGAAGGAGGACTTCCCCGAGGCCTTCCACTACGCCAACCACCCGCGCATCACGCCGCTGCTCATGTACAGTGACCCGGGCTACGTCATCCACGGGGTGAGGGCCCAGGCGCGCGGCGGGGGGACACGGGGGCTGGGGGCTGCTGGTCTCTTCCCCGCCCCGTGAAGAGCACCCGTCTCCAGCCAGCCCCCCGTCTGAGGCGCACCGGCCACCAGAGGGACACAGTCGTCACGGCAATAGGTGTGTGTGCGTGCGTGTGCATGGGCATACATGTGTGCACACGCCCGGCGTTTGTGTGATGTTACGTGTGCATGTGTGTTGGTGCACTGTGTGCTTGTGTGTGCACGAGTGCCTGTGTGTGTGGTGCACATGTGTGTGCGTGGGTACATGTGTGTGCTTGTGTGCACTTGCACGTCAAGTAACGTGTGGGGAGATCAGCCATACCAGTGACAGGACAGGCTGAGCCCTCAGAGGCCAGGGCTCAGGGAAGGGAGGTGCAGGTGGGGGCTGAGGGGGGAGTGCTGTGGGTTGGGGCAGCCCGGCTGGGTGCTGGGGTCCCTGTCTATGTCACAGGGTCCTTGCAGAGGCGCTGGCTTCGGGCCACTGATCTTTGAAGGCTCAGAACCCCCGCCCCCATGTCCACACCCTTTAGGGGGGAAGGGGGTGTTGGGGGAAGCGGGGCTGGCGGAGGAGCGGGGGCCGGGGAGTCCCACGAGGTCTCAGGACACCGCCCCCCCCCGCAGAGGGTGAACGTGCAGTTCAACAACGGGGAGCACGGCTTTGACAACGGGGTGCTGGACATGAAGACCATCTTCCGGGCCGTGGGCCCCAGCTTCCGGCGGGGCCTGGAGGTGGAGCCCTTCGAGAGCGTCCACGTGTACGAGCTCCTGTGCAGGCTGCTGGGCATCGCGCCCGAGGCCAACGACGGGGACCCTGGCGCCCTGCTGCCCATGCTCACGCCCGAGGCCACCGGCGGCACCAGCGCCCCACCGACCACCACCCCCTCAGGTGAGGCCCCGCCCTCGGCCTGCACCGGCCCCAGCGGCTGCAGGCGGAGTGCCTGCCCCGGAACAGGTGCCCCAGCCACGTGGGGCGCCTGCCCTCCCTGCCCCGGCGTTCCCACCCAGCGTCCTCTGCGCCTCGCAGTGCGGGCGGGACAGGAGCGAGTTCAAGCTGCAGGGCGGAGGAGCAGGGGCCGTCGGCCCAGGGACAGGCCTTCTGGGTGAAGCCCCTCCAGGCCCCTGGTCCCAGGGCACCCAGACTCCCCCGAGGCACTCCTTCCTGGAGACCCACTGCCAGCTCCCACCTCCCCGACCTGGCCCGTCCCAGTGCAAAGGTCACGGGGAGCTGGACCACGGGGGGGGGGGGGGGGGGGAGTTGGGGAGGGGCCTGGCTAGATGAGGGGGCGGCTGGGGCGCTGGGGAGGAACAAAGAGGGGTGCTGAGAGGTGACTTGGGGGGCTCGTGGGCGGCTTCGGGAGGAGCTGGGTGGTGACATGCCCCGCGCCCCTCCTCCTGGGGCCTCTGACTCCCCACAGGATCCTCACCCCTGCCTGGCGCCCCCGTGATGGCAGGCCTGCTGGCGGCTGCAGTTCTGGCCAAGGTCGCATAGTGCCACCGCTCAAGGTCAGGGCCCGGGAGGTGCAGGGAGGGTGGAGGGAGGGCGGTCCCTTGGCCCCGTAGACAGGCCCTGTCCCACCACAGAGGAGTCAGTCCCGGCCAGGGCCTGGGGCAGCCCTTCAGAAACAGACGCCCCGCCGCCCCCTCTGCTTCAGGCTCTGTGCTCTGGGACCAGCAGGGAAAGACTAGCAACTGCAGAGGGGGTGCAGCGGGGGCAGAGGGGGCGCCTGGCACACCAGAGCCAGCTCAGAGGATTCGCTTCCTGAGGGACAGCCCCCTTGTCTGCCCTGTGATGTCACAGCCCCTTGTCTGCCCTGTGATGTCACAGCCCCTGTGATGTCACAGCCCCTGTGTCTGCCCTGTGATGTCACAGCCCCTGTGATGTCACAGCCCCCTTGTCTGCCCTGTGATGCCACAGCCTTCTGGCCAGAGTGACGCAGGCCTTCACTCTGAGAAGGCAGTGGGGCGTGGGGTGTTGGGCTCCGCCTGGCTCTGGATGTGCAGGGAGCCAGGCAGCCAGGCCCCGAGCTGGCATCTGCCTTGGGAGCCAGGAGGGCAATGAGACAAAGGAAACCGTGGCCCAGAGCACTGGGCAGAGGGGTGGGGGGCGCACAGGGCCATGCCAGGGTCTGACGTGGTGACCAAATGGGCCCACACATGGGGCAGGAGCAAGGTTAGGGACAGGCACTGCCAGTTCGGAGGTCACCCCGAGGTCGGGCAGCACATCTGGGTGGCAGGGCAGAGGGGGCACATGAACCCATTCCGATGCCTTCGAGGTGTGAGGGGTGGAGTGGAGGACAGAGGACATGGGCCTGAAGGCTGGGGGGCCAGTGCCTGAGGCCCCGGGTGCCTGAGCCGGGAAGGACGGGCACCTGACAGCGTGCGGAGCCGGGGACAGAGACAGAGGGCTGGGCCCACACGCCTGACTCCCCACCCGCCCGCCCCAAATGCCTCCATCGCCTCAGCAGCCCGCCCTCACCCCACCCTCCCACCATCTCTGCCAGGAAGCTCCACAGCTGCCCTCACGGTGAGGACGGCCCCGCGGACCTGTCTCCCCAGCTGCAGAGACGGCCTCCGAGTCCACAGCCCGGCCACGCTCGGTCGTCATCGCTGGCAGTCCGCCCCCTGCCCAGGCCTGCTAGGTCCACGGCCCAGACCGCCCATCCCTCTTCCCTCCTCCCTCTTCCCTCCTCCCTCTTCCCTCCTCCCTCTTCCCTCCTCCCCCCACCAAAACCTTCCAGAGCAGAGCCTCCGTCCGCGGCCACGTGAGGGCGCGCAGGCACCCGCTCCAGAAGGGACTCTGTCCTGGCCCACCAATCGCGGCCTCCAGCCCCGGAGGGGGCCGGGCAGGCAGCGGGAGGTGTTGCCCCTCGAGCTCTGGTCCCCACCGGGGCTGGCCGGCTGCTGCTCCGGGCGCGGTGCGCAAGGGCACTGTGCCCGCGGGACCAAGGACACGCCAGGGCTTGGAAATCACCGGGCCGGCGAGGGGGCAACTTCCCCCGGGCTCTCAGCCTCACCGGCGCCCCGTGTGGAATAAACTCCCAGCGCCTCGGAACGACCCCAAACGCGGGCACCCATTCACTCAGTTGGTGTGGGGTGGGGGGGCTGGGCGGACCTCCAGGGACAGGGGGTGACGGTGTGCGCCTCACATTGAAAAAAAAGGGGCTGGGGGGCCGAGGGCTACTGTGACAAGATGGGGAGCGAGAACTCCCAAGCCACGTTGCTCCGTTAAAAAGCGGCCAGTAGCGCCCTGTGGGCAGGAAGGAAGACATGCCTGTGAGCACCTGTGTGTGGGGGGGTGCGGGGGGGGGGGGGTTTGGACACAGCTCTGGAGACTCAGGAAGAGGGGGCACTGCCTGTCTCTGAGGGGGTGGGGGGCCAGGCCAGGACCCAAAGGGACACTGTCCAGCCCCTCGTCACCCAACCCCAGACGCTGGGCCACTTCAAGGCGTGGGCTCTGCGTCAGACCAGCTTCTGCCCCCCTGTCCCCCCACAAGGGGCTGCCCAGGACCTGCCCGCTCACCTGTGACACCCTCCTCCCCACCTGGGCCACTGGGAGTTCCTTCTGGTCTCTGGATCCACCCACCCTCCCCCCCAGGGCTCCCCGGAACGGTCGCAGCTCCCTGGTCTTCCCCAAGGTTTCCTGGAAGCACCCACTGCCCGGTGCCCAGGCCCGCCCGCCGGCTCCCGCCTGAGGACGGGCCTCCTGTCCTCACCTAGTCGAGGGGCCGGGCCATGCCTCTAAGTCATCGCCTCCCAGGTGCCGGAGCCCTCGCCGGTGCCGGAGCAGCCAAAACGGCCCAGGTCCCCAAAAAGCACCCAGGCTTCCGCCGTCAAAACAAGAGCCCACCAGGGCCGGTCTGCCTGGCCTCGCCTCTTGATTGGCATTTTAAACAGAGAGAACCTGGACCGTCCCACATGTCACAGTGACCCCCAAAGTCCCATGGGTGGCTGACGCCCGAGCAGGAACGAGGGACCCGAGCGGCTTTGGGCTGCGTGCTAAGGGGCTCAGGGCCTGCGGCCTCCGCAGGCTGCAGACGGCTCCAGGCCTCACCTGTGCGTAGGGACTAGTGCACCTGCCTCTACCTGGGCGCGAGGAGCAGTGAACAGCCCTGAGGCCAGGGCGGGAGCCCCACGGGGAAGGGTCCTGGTGAGGAAGGAATCCCCCGCCTTCCCTAACACCGCCCCCCCAAGCCTTCAGCAGAGTCTCTGGTCCCAGACCTCCCGCCTTGAGCACTGCCCGGTGCAGTCCCGGGCCCCAGGCCCAGAGCCCTCAGGGAGCAGCCGCATCCTCTGCATTGTGTCTGTGCCCTCCACCACCCTTAGGTTTGGGCAAGTGCGAGCAGGGTCCGTTTGCTTCTGTTAGTTTACAGTTAAGTCAAAGCCTGGCCAGTGTGGCTCAGTGGTTCAGGGCTGGCCTCTGAACCAGGAGGTCAGGGTTCCATTCCCAGTCAACGCACAGGCCCGGGTAAGAGTCCAGTCCCCAGTGTGGGGCAGACAGGAGGCGGCCGATCAACGACTCTCTCATCATGGACGTCTCTCTCTCTCCCTCCCTCTCCTAACTCTCTGAAATCAATAAAAGACATATTTTTTTTAAAAAACAACAAAAGAACAAGTTGCATTGAAGGAAAACGGTGAGAGAAGAACCGTGCGGGTGTCTGAGGGCCTGACAAAACGGACCCAGGAGGCTGGGCAGGAACCCGTGGCTGCTGCCCACACGCCTGGCTGCCTCCTCTCCCTTCCTGGCATGTGGTGCCCCAGAAGCTTCTGGAAGGCACACTCGGCCTCCCAGGGCCCACGTGCAGACTCCCTCTGGGACTGACCCTGTGGTCCCCGGGCCGCACCCTTCCCGGCCGCCGGCCCGGGGGGTCAGGAAGGGGCCGCCTGAGGGCACGCTGCTGCAATGCCGCGTCCGGAGGCCACGGCTCTGGCCGGACAGCGGGGTCTGGACAGACCCAGCCACAGCCCCGGTTGTATGTTTCAGTCGTTCGAGCAGCATGAACACACTTACTTCAGACGGGATGACTTGCCATTTGCGTGGGGAGCGGCATCGGGTGGAGCGTTTAGCCGGAATGTACCCGTTTGCCGGACTCGGAACCGTGCCTGTGCATTTTTAAATGCTGGCACGTGTGACAGAGCACGGGTGGAGGTGAGGGTGGACTGTTCCTGTTCCAGGGTCACTGAATGACTGCATTCCGGCTGCTTAAAGTATGTTTAGGGTGTATCCTTGCATTTCTGCAAACCAGTCCTGTCTGGTATGTAACTATTTTTTTAAACATATTTTATTGATTTTTTACAGAGAGGAAGGGAGAGGGATAGAGAGCTAGAAACTTCGGTGAGAGAGAAACGTTGACCAGCTGCCTCTTGCACACCAGGGATGTGCCCGCAACCAAGGTACATGCCCTTGACCGGAATCGAACCCGGAACCTTTCAGTCCGCAGACCGATGCTCTACCACTCAGCCAAACCGGTTTCGGCTGGTATGTAACTATTTAAAGGTGAACTGATGGGGGGGGGGGCGGGGAGAGAGACATTGATGGGAAGGAGAAACATCAGTGGGCTGCCTCCCACACACCCAGCGGCCCTGATCCAGAGTCACGCTGCCACCGCCTGGGCTCGTTTGTTTCCCAGGCATCGCCCCCTTTACCAGGTCATTTCACTCCACTGAAACCGATGCATCTATTTCTCCAAAGAAATTACCTAAACATTCTTTTAGCCAAAGTGAGTGCTGGTGGTTGGCCCCATGCCGCGAATGGCAGGCTGGCCAGCGCGGTCTGAGCAGCCGGCTGCGTGTGTCACGGGAAACAGCACCCCCTGGGCCCGCAGTGCGCAGGTGTCAGACCCCAGGAACAGGAAGCCGTGAGGAGCGGCTACGCCTCCCAAGAAACTGACCTGCACCCCCAAATGGGTTAGGACCAACTCCTAGAAAAACCAATTTCTTAGGGGGGAAAAAGAGTCCCCTTTATAAAGCTTTATTTTCTTTAAAAACGACGATTGTCCAGGATCCATGTCCCCAAGAGGAAGCTGCCAGGCAAACCTCAGCAGTCCCCCCCCCCCGCCCTGCCCCCCAGGAGTCCCAGCTGCCCGGCCCTTCGCCCCTTAACAGTGAGGATGCTCTCGCCTCTCTCACGTCTTGTGGAGCTGGGAGCTCTCTCCACCCCAGGGGGCAGGTTTCACCCCCAAACCGGGGTCCCACCCCAAGCGAACCTTCCTTCTCCCCACCCCCTTCCCAAGCCACACCGGAGTTTGCAAAGGTCACTGGTCTTTTAGGGCAGCGGTGAAAGGAAGCTCTTTAACCCAATGGACTGGAGACCGTGCCGGAATAGAACAGCGCCCGGGTCCTCCTGCTGCGCCCCAGGCTTTCCCGTTAACCAAACGCATCCCTCCCGCAGGACCTTCTACAAACCGGCTCTAATGACCGAACCCTATGGGGACAGGTCCGGCCACGGAAAACGAGTTTTTTACTTGCTCAGCAGAGAGGACTGTGCAGCTGCGCGGGAGGAACACACAAAACCAGAAAGTGAATTTCCACCGAGTTGCACGGTATTGATGGGGGGGGGGGGGGGGGGTACAGCTAGCGTTGATCTCCATTCGGCGTTTGGCTCCTCTGATGCAAAAGCTGCATGGCTTCAGGGGGTTTGCTCACGGATACGGATCTCATCAGCAGGAAGTAAAAGGGTCGCCTCCACCGAGAACCCCAAAAGGGGCCCCAGGCCACCCCACTGGGGAAACGCGGTCCGATCTCCTCTGCGGCGGGCAACTGGCCCCCAAGCTGCACATTTCCAAATCCTGGCGGCCCGACGGTGCCTCAGTCCTGGGTCACGGCCGCCGCCGAAGCCTCGCTCCCAGTCCCACATGCACCTCACAACCGCGGAACGAAGGAAGGCGCCCCTCCCGCCCTCCCACGCGCGCCCTGCACCGCGGGGCTCGGCTCCCCTCGGCGGGGCTCAGCAGCCCGCGCCCTCGGCGGATGCATCCTCCTCTCCCGCCTTCGGGGGGAGCGGCGGCCCCGCTCCCGCAGCGCCCTGCTCCCGCCGGCACTTTGGCCCCCCTTCCCTCCCGCTCCCGCCCCGCCCCCGCGGCCCCTGTGCTCCCGCGCAAAGCGGGACGAGTGCCGAGACCCAGAGCCCCCGATCCAAAGGCGGGGGTCCCGTGGCGCTGGGCGCCCGCAGCAGCGCCCCTCGCAGGCCGGCGCAGGAACTTCCGGCTTCGGGCCGGAACAATGGCGCTTTTCCCGGAAAACCCCGTCAGGAGGCGGTGGGGCGCGACCCGGGGGCCAAGCAGGACTCAGCGGTCGACTTCCCGGGTCCGAAGCCCCGAGGCGCCCCCCTCCCCCGTCCTCACCCCACAACAGAGGGCGGGGCCCGGCCGCGCCCCGGGATTCCCGCGCGAGGGGTCCGGCCAGCCCGGCCCAGAGCGGCGCCCGCGCGGACCCCGCCGCGGGCACGAGGCCGAGCTCCCGCGGACAATGCGCGCCCCGCTCCGCCCCCGCGCGCTCATTGGCCGGCGCCGCGTCCCGCCCCCGCGCGCTCATTGGCCGGCGCCGGGTGGGCCCGCCCTCGGGGCGGAGCGCGGCGCCTTGGAGGGGCGGGCGGCGCTGCGCGTGCGCGGGGCGGGCCCGCGGGGGCGGGGGCGGCGCTTTGTGTGCGGCGGCGGCGGGCGCGCGGCGAGCGGCGGTGCGGGAGCGGCGGCGCCGCGGAGGGACGCGCGGGCGCGGCAGCATGGAGGAGCTGAGCAGCGTGGGCGAGCAGGTCTTCGCCGCCGAGTGCATCCTGAGCAAGCGGCTCCGCAAGGTGCGTGCGGCCCGGCGGCGCCGCTCGGCCCGCGCCCCCCGCCCGCCTGCCCGCCGCCCGCTCACGCGCCCCTCTCCCCGCAGGGCAAGCTGGAGTACCTGGTCAAGTGGCGCGGCTGGTCGTCCAAGTGAGTCCCCGGCCCGCGAGGCCGCTTCCCGCCGGCCCGGCCCGGGGAGGGGAGGGGAGGACCCCGGCGCCGCGGATTGGCGGGCGGGGGAGGGTCTGCGCAGCGCGGGAAGGAAGTTCGCGGGTCCCGCCGCTCCTCCGGCTGCGGGGAGGGGCGCCCGGGCCGCGAGGGGCGGCCCTTTGTTTACAAACCCGGGGCGCGCGGCGCCCGCGGCTCCCCCGGGGGTCGCGGCCCAGCCCCGCGCCCCCGGCCGCCGCCCCCGGAGCCCGGCCCGCGTCCTCCGCGCCGCGCGGGCTCCCGCCCAGTTGTTGCTGACGCCCCCCGCCCCTCCGCCTCCCGCGGACCGGAGCCCCTCCTGCCGGCGCCCCGCTGTAACCTGAGCTGCCTATTGATGAGCGCGGGCTTCCTCTTTTTTTATGGGAGGGAGGGGACGCGGCGTTCCCCGAGGGGGCTCTGTTTACATCGCTCCCGCGGGCCCGGCTCCCCCTCATCCCCGGACCCCCGGGCCTTTGCGCTCCTCTCCGGTGCCTGGCCCGCGCTTGCTTGGGCGCCAGCCACGTTTTTATAGTCTTGGGGCTGCGCCCCCCGCCTCTGGACAGCCTCCCCTCCCCGCTCGGGCTCCGGGCCAGGGTTTGGGGGCTTCCTCCGCCGACTTCCCTTTCTCCAGGGTTTGATTTCCTCCCAGTGGGGAGACCAGTCCTCTGGGGCGGGTGTTCATGGGGGGTGGAGCAGCTGTTTCCCCTGGAGCTTCAAGGGGAGGTACTGGCCTCCGAACCCCGTTTCCAGGAGCGCACCCTGGACACAGTGGGACCTTCTTGGGGTCCGCCGGGACCTGCCGGCCGCAGGAACTGGCTGCTGTGTGACCACGGCCTGCTCTCTGCTTTTCCAGGCACAACAGCTGGGAGCCCGAGGAGAACATCCTGGACCCGCGGCTGCTCCTGGCCTTCCAGAAGAAGTGAGGAGTTGGGGGGGGGCAGGGGGCGGGGCGCTGCTGGTCCTCCAGGGGTCCCACAGCAGCTGCCCCGTGCTCCCTGCTGCCATCCCATGGCTGGTGGGAAAGGTGAAGCGAACTTTCCCCCAAACAGAGCTGCGTCTCCCCCTAAGGAGCCCATCGAGTCAGGGTGCTGTTGGCTGCTGGAAGCCAGACTGCCGGGATGAACTCTCGGTTCCTTCACGAAAAGCTTTGCCTTTTCTGTTGAGTAGTTTGCACACAGGGCTGATGGAGGCCAGGACGAGGGGTTTGCTGTAGCAATGCAGACCCTGCCTCCCCCTGCACCAGGGTGCCTGGAGCAGAAGGCGGCCAGAGGGGGAGCAGAGCACACACACACACACACACACACACACCCCGTGGTGGGCGGCAGGGGCGGGCCTGCCCAGGACGCTTCCTTTTCTCGGGGCGCAGAACACACTACCGAGCGCGGTGCTGAGTGCGTGGCACTGAGCGAGCGCGCTGGCCGGTCTGGGCTGAGTGCGCTGCAGTGGTCCTAGGTGCCATTTCTGTGTGTGTGTAGGAGCCCTGGGCTAGAGAGGCCTTGAGCTGCTGAGGGGAGGGGTGGTGAGAGGCAGGTGAGGGTGGCCACCCCCACCGGCAGGAGGGTCCAGAGGTGCTGTTGGGAGCACACTGGACAGGGAAGTGTGGGCACTGGGCGGGAGGCCCTGAGTGTGGACGGAGACAGCTGTCGCTGCTGAGGTCCCGCCGAACATGACTTGGGTCCCAGAGCCAAGAGGGAGTGTCCACTGACAGCCCGCGGCCCCGGCTGCCCTCCTTGTGGTCCGGCCGGGGGAACCGGGCTCGGCGGGCAGGGTCCCTAGGAGATGGGCTGTGGATGTCCAAGAGGCCCGAGAGGTAAAGTGCGCGGTCAGTCACATCCTGGGCGGTGGGTGCTCTTCCTCCGGAAATGGGGGCGGTCCCGCTGGAGGCAGGGAGCTCGCGGTGACGTAAGAGGTGACGCGGGAGACCGTCCGCTGCCTCAGTGCCCGCTCGCCTGGTGCTCCCTGGATTCTGGAAGGGCCACGTGCCAGGCCCCAGTGAGGTGCCGTCGGCCCGTTTCAGTTACCAGGAAACCCCTCCGGACAGAGCCTCTTCCGGAGACGGGGGGAGCCTGAAACACAAGCGCATGTTCGTGTTCTCTCTCTCTCTCTCTCTCTCTCAGCTGGGAGGCATCTCGTCGCCGTGGTCCTGAGCGGGGTCGGGGTGGGGGTACGGGGGCAGGCCCTCACTTGGCCTGGACTTCAGTTTGAAGTGAGGGGATTGGACCATGTGACCACAACGGCCCCTCATGGCCTTCTGGAATTCTCCGGGACATTCTGCCTGCAGGGAGGCTGGGGCAGGCGTGCTGTGAGTGGAGTCGGGAGAGACCAAACCTGCTCGCGTGCCAGGTTGGCTTGGCGCTCTGACTTGGCTTTGCCTGACGCCGGCGGAGTGGGGGGGCGTGCAGGGGGCTGGACCTCTCCCTCCCTCACACTGATGAGCCACCTCGGCTGGCTGGAGGGGCCGGGTGTTTGCAGCCGTGGGGTTCCGTGACCCTGATGGGCGATTCTCTCCAGGGAGCAGGAGAAGGAGGTTCAGAACCGGAAGAAGGGCAAGCGGCCCCGGGGCCGGCCGCGGAAGCTCACGGTGATGTCCTCCTGCAGCCGGCACTCCAAGCTCAAGGTGGGTGGCCGAGGCCTGCTCTGGCTGCTCGCCTCCCGCTGGGGCGGGCGCGGGTGCAGGCGGGAGGGCCGCGGGCTTTGGCGGAGGGTGCCGCGGGGTAGCAGTGAGCCCAGGCTGCTGAGCTTTATTTTTTCCACTGATTTTTAGAGAAAGTGGGAGACAGAGAGATATGCATCGATTGGTTGCCTCCTGCACTGGCCTGACTGGGGCCGGGGATCGAGTCACAACCAGGTACAGGCCCTTGACCAGAATCGAACCCAGGGCCCTTCTGTCCTTAGGCCAACACTCTGTCCACTGAGCCAGGCCAGCGCCTTTTTCCTGCTTTTAACTCGCTGCCCCCACTCCCACCCCCAGCCCCCTGTAGTCTGGAAGCGACAGGAGGTGCTGGCTTCGGCGTGTCTGAGACCCCTGCGGGGTGGGCGAGTGTGTTCTGGGCCCCGGACCAGGCCACAAAGGGCAACACCTCCCCCGGTCTCTGCAGGAGCCGGACACCTCCTCCAAGTGCAAGTCCAGCAGCTCCTCCTCGTCCTCCACGTCGTCCTCCTCGTCCTCCGATGAAGAGGGGGACAGCGACCTGGACGCCAAGAGGGGCCCCCGCGGCCGGGAGACGCACCCGGTGCCGCAGAAGAAGGCGCAGATCCTGGTGGCCAAGCCCGAGCTGAAGGACCCCGTCCGGAAGAAGCGCGGCCGCAAGCCGCTGCCCCCCGAGCAGAAGGCGGCCCGGAGGCCCGTGAACCTGGCCCGGGTGCTCAAGACCGCCAGGAAGGACCTGGGGGCGCCGGCCGGCAAGCTGCCGCCTCCGCTCAGCGCCCCCGTGGCCGGCCTGGCGGCCCTGAAGGCCCACGCCAAGGAGGCCTGCGGCGGCCCCAGCAGCCTGGCCACCCCCGAGAGCCTGGCCAGCCTGATGAAGGGCATGGCCGGCAGCCCCAGCCGCGGCGGCATCAGCTGGCAGAGCTCCATCGTGCACTACATGAACCGCGTGAGCCAGAGCCAGGCCCAGGCCGCCGGCCGGCTGGCGCTCAAGGCCCAGGCCGCCGGCAAGTGTGGCCTCGGGCTGGACCTCAAGGTGAGGACGCAGAAGGGCGAGCTGGGGTTCAGCTCCCCGGGAAGCAAACTCCCAAAGGCCCCTGGCAGTGGGGTGATGGAGCCGAAAGGGGGGGCCCCCCACGCCCACAGTGGCAGCAAGGTCTCTGCCGGTTGCCTGGGCCCCCAGCCTGCGCCCACCCAGGAGCTGAGCCTCCAGGTCTTGGACTTACAGAGCGTCAAGAACGGCATGCCGGGGGTGGGCATGGCCGCCCGCCACGCCACGGCCGCCAAGGGCGTCCCTGCCACGGTGCCCGGCACTGGGAAGGGCGCCGGGGCTGGCGCCACCGGGGGCAGCGGGGCTGGCATGCTGGCCGACACCGGCAAGAGCGAGAAGCTGGCCGCCCGGGCCGCCGCTGTGCCCGCCCCTGCGGGGAAGAGGGACTGCGGCAAGGGCGGCGCGGCCCCCGGCGGGCAGGAGGGGCCCGGGGCCCTGGGCAAAGCGGCCGCGCTGTCCGAGATGAGCACCGGCGAGGAGAACAGCAGCTCCGACTCGGACCCGGACTCGGCCTCGGCCTCGCTGCCCGGCGCCAAGCAGAACCTGTCCTTGTCGGTGCAGACCAGCCAGGACTGGAAGCCCACCCGCAGCCTCATCGAGCACGTCTTCGTCACGGACGTGACCGCCAACCTCGTCACCGTCACCGTGAAGGAGTCCCCCACCAGCGTGGGCTTCTTCAGCCTGCGGCACTACTGACCGCGGCCGCCGCCGCCCGGCCGCACCTCGATGCCTTGCCGGGGCTGCCCGCCCCGTTCCTACCTCGGCCTTCGCTTCCCTTCGGCCTCAGGAAGTCTGGGCACACCTGCAGCTCGAGCCAAATCTCCAAACCGCCTCCTGGCTGCTGATGGCTCTGCTTCCCCGGGCACCGATGTTCCAGGAGGAGTCCCTGGGCCAGCGTGGCTGGTGGGGGGCAGGGCCTGGGGGACCACATCAGGCAGGCAGACCAAGATGGGGTGGGGCAGGGGCCTTGCTGCCAGAACTCCCCTCTCCCCCCCTGAGCTGTCAGGGTGAGGGGGCGTCATCTCTGTCACTGTCCCCTCCCCTCATAGCTGACGGCTGTGGCCTTGATGTGAAGGACAGGTCTTGGGGGGGAGGGGGGAGGCAGGGACCCTGAGAGGCTGATTTGGGGCCATCTAACTGGGGGCCAGCTGCCGGGCAAGTCCCTGAGCTGCTGCACCTGAGGAGCCAGCCTCTGGGTTTTGGGGGCAGGAGGAGAGGGTGCCTGCCTTCCTGCCATCGGTGCCAGGATCATTCGTCCTCTCAGCCCCACACTCTGTCTGGGCCTGCTGGCTGTACAGGAGCCTCGTCACGTCCCCCCATGGAGAAGCCCACCGTCCCTGACAATCCCCCCACCTCTGGGCCCCGTGGAGACGCTGTCTGCCTGCCTGTGTGTTTGGGAAGCCGGACAAAACCAGAGTGGCCCGCCAGGCGGAGGCCGGGGGCCGCAGCAGGAGCTGCCCTGTGTGGATTCCCACCCTCCATGCAATGGGTGTCCTGGGCGTGGGGGAGAGGTGGGCTAGCTGGGGTGCCACCGGGCCTGTAATGCCAAAAACAGTGGGCCTTGGGGGACTCGGGTTTTATTTCTGTGATCGATTAAGGCAGCCAGCGGGGTGGGACCCTGACTGCATGGGAGGCAGGCCTGCCACACCTCCACCCCCTCCCCCACTCCCAGCCCCGCCCTCCATGCCAAATAGGAACCAGGGCTTCGTTGTAGCCAAATCTGAACCGAGTGCCTTTGGGGACAGCCTGTGTCCAGGACCCCATTGAGGGGTCTCCGCAGGACATGGGGGCTCCAACATGGCATCCCCGCCAGCGGCTGCAGGCATGGTGCCACCTTGGCAGCCAAAAACTAGTAGGAGTCCCCGCCTGCCAGGCTGAATCTGGGAAGTGGGCAGTGGAGGGAGGCCTGCCCCCTGTGCACCCGGGCAGGGGGGAAGCAGTCCCCTCCTGTCCCCGGGGTGATCACAGGGGTTTCCCCCGGCCCCCCAGAGGAGCTGCTGCCTCCCGAGTTCTGCAGCTGCTCCGCCTGGTCCTGCCGCCTGAACTCACGGGCACTGGCAGCCAGGCCTCCAGTCCCGATGCGGTGCCTTTACCAGCTCTCTCGATCCCAAAGTTTGATCTGTAAACCTTGTTCCCGGCTGCTTTGCCTTGCTGGGTGGTGTGTGTGTCTGGGTGCTATGACCCTAACAGTGTGTGTGTGTGAGTGGGCCCAGGTGCTCTGAGCTGGTTGCCATGTTTACCAATTAATAAAGCCCTCCTGTTCTATTTGCTGCTGTGTGTGTGTAGGTGGGTGGGTGCATCTAAGCACCGGTCACACATCGAACATGGCATTGCCTTGTTCCGCAGGGGCCCCTGCCACACGGAAAGCGGTGAGCAGGTGTCTACGTCCTGTCTTGGCTTCTGTGAGTGGGTGGAAGAAGTAGCCAGCCTGCCCTCCAGGGGGTTGGCATGTTTTTATACGTATATTTTTGGTACCAAAAAGAAGGCTCCTGTTTTGGTTACACTCAAAACTGACCTGACTTCGGAGAGCTTGGGCCTCGCTAGAGGTCTCATTGGGGGAAACTTTGGGGAAAGAGCAGCGCTGTGGGCCAGTGCCAATCCCTGGCTTGATTTGTGTTTTTTTAATTAAAAAGCCAAATTGTGTATACCGCTTTTAATTGCTTTCTTAAAAGAGAATAAAACTGGGTATGTTCCTTCCCTGGGAAACCTAGGTCTTTGTTGAAACAGGACAGCAGCCCAGCCCCCAAATTCAAACAGGACCAACCAGCTAAAGGGAATGCCTCCCAGAAAGCCCACCAGGATTTGGTGGGCGGAGTGAGAGCTAGGGGAAGATGGTGCCTCGATGGCCAGGTTTCTGCTCACATGCATCTGGAAATTCTGTGCATTTTCTAGTATTTTTGGGAAACAACACTAGCCATAGGTTGCAGGGTTTTTTCAGACGGATGTTAATTTATTTAGCAGGGGGAAGACAGCCAATGTGTCAGACCTTTGTCTTTTCACTTAGTATATCAATAAATTTTTTTTTAATTACCCTGTTGAGTGTCATGAGCAGTGCCTGGAAACACGTGTCTTCACTTTCCCCTTCTTGAGGCAAAATCCTCCAACACGACGGAATAGAAGGAGGGGGGTCCAGGGCTCAGGAAGGCGTGGCCACCTTTCTGGGGTACAAAAAAATTTTTTTTAATACATTTTATTGATTATCTACAGAAAGGAAGAGAGAGAAACATTGATGAGAGAGAAACATTGATCAGCTGCCTCCTGCACACCACTTACTGGGGATATGCCTGCAACCAAGGTACATGCCCTTGACTGGAATCTACCTGGGACCTTTCAGTCCCCAGGCCGACGCTCTATCCACTGAGCCACACCGGTTAGGGCCAAAAAAAGATTTTTCCTAAGCAAGGGTGTGGGCTTCATTGTAGAACTGAGTCCCTGCACCAGCGTTTCACAGTGGTTTGGCATCTCAGGGGACGGGGAGCACAACAGGGTCCTGGGTGAGGGTTGCTGCTGGCGTCCGGCGCTGTGATAACGCCATAAACTCACTGAGACCCCTCCCAGAAACAGCCCCCTCCTCCCCTCCCCGCATCCAGAGACGCTGCCCCGGGAGCCCCCCACACGTGGTAACACTTGAAAGGTTCAGGCTGTAACATTCCGAGGCTGCAAAGCCCGCAGGCTCTGGCTGGGCGAGGCCTGACCCAGGCTCCCTCGGGGCTTGCTTCCTGAAGTACGTCCCGGGCACCCTCCCCGGGGCACCCTCTCCCGGGCACCCTCTCCCCGGGCACCCTCTCCCGGGCACCCTCCCCGGGGCACCCTCTCCCCGGGCACCCTCTCCCCGGGCACCCTCTCCCGGGCACCCTCTCCCCGGGCACCCTCAGCAGTTTATCCACACACCTCGTCTCCAGGAGAACTGGCACCCTTGGAAGGGAAGGGAACAGCCTGCCTGTGGGCACCCTGGTTAGGGGCAGAGGCCTGGATGCTTTCATCCAGGGGGTCCCCCGCAGCTGGAAGGCACCCCAGCTGGAGGGTTTGAAATCAGATTCTGCCCAGGAGGCGCTGGCTGGCTTTTGTTCGCCTCCTGAGGCTGGAGCAGGTTGTGTTGGGGGAAGGTGGCTGGGGCCACCCTAGCGGCCTGTCCTGGGGCGGGGGCGGCTGCAGGGGGAGCTGGGGGGCTGGGAAGGAGCGGACTGGCAGAGTGGGAGCCGGTGTTACACACACACACACACACACACACACACGCACGCACTCACCCAGATGGCCAGCCATTCCTGGGATCATTTATACGGAGCCTCCTCGGACAGACCACCGTGCGGGCCAAGGTCCACCCCGGCCTTCGTTCCGGGGGTGCGCTGCTGGGTTTTCGGCCTCACCCACCGCCTCCCGGGGGAATGGGCTGGGTCGCCAGGGGCTCCGCCTGGCCTGAGGCTGGGCCCGGAGCCCCAGGTCCGAAGGCGCCTGGCATGACCCTCACGTCCAGGCTCCTAGACGGTCCGGCGGCTGGACACCGCGTGCCCTCCCTCCGCGCGCTGGGAGACCTGGCCGCGGAGGGGCGCGCTGGCCCCCGGGGCGGGGAGAGGGGCGGCCCTGCTCCCTTCCCACCCGGAGGGCAGGGGCCGCCCCGGATGGGCTGCGGTCTCCGCCTCTAGAGGGCGCACGCGGCCCGCCAGGTGGAGCCGCCGGCGCCGGGGCGCGCGGGGCGAGTCCCCGCTCCGCTCTGAGCCCTGCGGGGCCGATGGCACCACCGCGCCCGGCGCCCCAGCGCCCCCGTTTTCCAAGTCTCGGCCCCTCCCCGGGGTCCAGGCCCGAGGCTGGGCGCCGCTGGGAGCACACGGGCCTGCGCCCCTCCGGCCCGCACTCGGGCCCCGTCCCAGGCCGCCTCTGGGCGGGGAACTTCCCGGTGAGAAGAAGTCGGGGTGCGAGCCCCCAGTGCCGGGCGGGACTGCGGGCCGGGGGTCTCCCTCTGCACCGCACCGGGCCCCGATGGGGTCCGCGCACCCAAGGAGCGGAGAACGGAGAAGCCGCGCCGGCCCCGCGCCGTGGGGCTGCCCTGGGGCGCAGGGGCCGCCGGGGGGGCGGGGAGGCGGCCGCGGCGGGGCCTCCACTCCCGGCGCTTTCCTGGAGGTCCGCCCGGGGAACCGACCCCGAGAGAGGAGCTCCCGGTCCCAGCGGCGGTCGGTGGAGGCCGAGCAGCCGGGGAGGGGCAGCGGGGCTCCCGCCGCGCCGCCCCAACACCGGGCAGCCGCGCGGGAGGGGGTTCCGGCGGAGCCGCTGGGCCGGGTCCCGGGGTGACTGCCTGCTCCGGCCCCCGCGGCCCCGGCCCGCCGCTCCCGCCCCCAGGCCTCCCCGCGGGCACAGAACCGGGGCAGGAGGTGGGGAGCTCCCGGACTTGTGGGCCGAGAGGGGACACGGCCCTCCCCTCGCGCTCGCCCCGCTCCTGGGCCCGCGCTGGCTCGGGGCGCCGTCTGCGGGGCTCGGGGCGGCCACTGTGGGGGTCCCGAGAGCGCTGTCCTGTGCGGGTTCACTGCGGCCAGGGAGGCCCCGAACCGCATCCCGCGATCCGGTCCCCGGTCCCGCCCCCCAGAAGGCGGCCGGGAGGCTGGGCGCGCGGGAGCCGCAGCTCCGGGTTCACTAATCACATCAGTTCGCGCCGCGCCGCTCGGAGCAGCCAGTTGCCTAGCAATCCCCGCGAATCCAATTCCTCAATCAATAGCCAGCGGCCTGCGTCGGGGAGGGCAGTCGAGGCTGGAGGTTGGGGGGCAGGTCCAGCCACGGGACTGGGAGCAAGCGGAGCCCCCGAGCGCGGGGCAGGGAACTCAGGCCTGGAGGGGGGTGGGAGGACCGGCAACATGGGGCCTGGGATGGAACTCGGCGGGGGAGACCCGACACAGGAAGGGGGGACCCTCCTGGGTCCCCGAGTTCTGCTGGGTCCCAGAGAGACGCACTGGGTAGGCGAGGGAAGCCAGGACCTCCTCCTCCCACTCCCTCCAAGCCCAGCTCTCTCTCCCCCTGGTTGGAGTTTATCTTTTTAGGGAAGGGTCTTCGGAGGTGGGATCTCCTGGGTGCTGGGGGGAGAGTGGCGGGGGGAGGACTGAGAGAGGAGGGGCGGGGGCGGGGTGTGACTGCTCCAGTGAGGGAGAAGGGGGAGAGAATAAAGCGGAGACATGTCTATTTACAAAGTATATATTTAAACACGTAAAAAGCGGCATTGGATACAGACAGACACAAGCTTCACTCAAGCGGAAGCGGAGGTCCATCCCAGCTTTGCACGAACCTCCGAACTCAGTAAACCCGACCGGCTCCAGCCCCGGGCGGTTGCAGGCCACCAGCCCCAGCCACGCCCCTGCCAGCCCATCCCCAGGTCAGCGTCCCAGAGCCAGCGGGGGAGACACACGGCCATGGACAGACGGAGGGACAAAGGCGGGGGCAGAGCCAGGCTGGCCTGGGTGGGAGGGAGCGCGGGCAGCCGGGAGGAAGGGAGGAAAGAGGAGGAAGAAGGAGGGAGAGGAAGGAGGGAGGGCAGACAGGCGGCAGCCAGGGAGGACCCGGTCCCCAGCTCCTGTCCACTCGGGTACAGACAGACAGGTCCCTCCGAGGCAGTCTCATCTGAGCACAGACACTCAGTCCCCGCAGGGCGCTGCTTACACAAAGTCTAAAATCCCAGTTTACAAACGCGAGCAGAGAAAGCCCCATCCTGGGGCCTCTTCACAGGCCCAATGCAACATCCAAACAGACAGCACCAGGGCACAGTTCACCCTTCTCACCCCTCCGCCTCCCCCCTCTGAAGGCGAGAAGTCTGGGGAGAGAGGCTGAGGCAGGCGGTGGGAACACCCAGTGTGAGGGCTGCCCGGGCCCCCAGTGAGCAGCTCCCCTCAGCCCCGGCCCTGCCCTGCTCGCCCCGAGTCTGTGCCTCCTCTGGGCCCTGCCTCGATGGGCGCTGACCAGCCGGGTCTCCGCTGGCCCTTTAAGGGCGGGAGGCGGGGAGGCCGCGGGGTCCGTCTGGAGGGGAGAGGGGAGGTTTGTGCTTTTGAGTCGAGTTCTGCAGGCTCGGGGCTCGCGTTCTGCGTCCGTGGGGTGCAGCGTGTTCACCGCCGCCGGGACGGGGGCGTCGGGGACCGGCCGCCTCCGGGGCCTCTCCCAGCTCCCGCTCCTCCCTCCCCTCGAGTTCAAACGGAGAACGCCGCGCATCGAAAAGGACTATAAATTATAGCTTTTGCTTTTGGGAAGGCGGGGAGGTACGAGCAAAGTTCCGAGGCGCATTCTTAGACGGAGACCTCGCCGAGCCCCTCCTTCCCGGCCCCGCCGCCGGGTGCGAGTCCTCCCGGCGCCCAGCCAGGCCCGGCCCCGCCGCCGCACCACCCACGGCCGGGCCGGCCCAGCCCCGCTCCAGCCGCCTCCCTTCCTGGGTCCGCAGGGTGGGCTCGTCTGGCTGCGCGTCCGTCCTTCCGTCCCGGAGCTGGCGGCCCGCCCTGGGCCAGGAGGCGGGTCCGACTCCTCGGGGAACCGGGGGGCCGGCTGTGCTCCCGGGCCGCGAGCAGCCGCGAAGGAAACGTCCAGCCCAGACCCGGCTCTGGGCACGGACGCGCCAGCCTCCCCGTTTGTGCTGGCATCTCGGGAATGTAAACAGATTCGCTGGGTTTCTGTTCTCTGCGGAGCGAGGAGAGGAAGGGAGGGAGCCGGGCCGTTGTGTCCGCGTGACACACTCATACACACGATCCGATCTGCGTGGAGAACCTGCACGACCCCCCTAAAGTGCATTTCCTGGCGGGGCCCTGGGGGACGTCAGCTGCTCCCACCTGCCCCCTGCGACTTCTCACCTCCAAAGTCACACACACACACACACAAGTGATTCACGTTAATACCCCCCCAGCAGCTCCCCTTCTTAATCTAAAAAAAAAAAAAAAAATGGAAACACAGACTGACCCCACCCCCTACTTTCTGATTGGGGAGCCAATCTTTGGCTGGCCTGGCTGGCCAATGGGGGGAGAGAGAAAATCTGGGTCCTGCCTCGGTGCCAGGGGCTGCGTGGGGCGGCCGTGGGGCTGCCATGGGGCTGTGGGAAAAGGGAGGAGGGGAGGAGGGCCAGCTGAGTCCCTCCAGACACCACCAGAGGCCCAGTTCCCGGTCCCCAACCTCCCAGACCCCTGGGGAGCAGAGGGGCCCCTCCCGCCCGCCCCAGGCAGCCTGCTGGCCCCAGCTAACCCACACGGAGCCTGTCTCTCTCTCCGTGTTAAATAAAACAACTTCGAGAGTTGAAATATATATATTTAGATATTTTTTTCTTAAATAACATATTTACATCTAATAGAAAATATAACTCTAGAAATAATCTTCCAACCAAAACTGACAGGGAGGAAGGAGGGAGGAAGGGGTGGGCTGTGGGACGTGGGGGGGGAGGGGGGAGCCCACAGGCTGCCTCCCACCCGGAAATAAAAAGCATCCTTTACGCCAGGCTCACGCTCTCACTCTCCCCCCCGCTCTGATCCGGGGTCACCCACCCAGCACTTCATCTTTTCTCTTTAAAGAAGCCTTGGTCCGTGTTACTTTCCTTGATGGTGACGGTCAGAAAGTTTGAGGTCACGTCGGTGACAACCACCTTCTCCAGGTTGGTCAGAGAAGGACTCCAGGACTCCTCCTCGGGGTCCCCCAGGATTCTGGCCACGGGGATCCTGGCGATGAGAGAGGGCCTTCCCCCCTGAGCCCCCATGTCCCGGTACAAGCCCCCCACAGAGCCGGGGGTGCCTGAGCCGTGCCGGACCCGGGGGCCACCAGGGTCCAGGGCACTCTGGCCTTTGGCCTCCAGGAAGGCGGCCCTGTGCTTTATGACCCTGGCAGGAAAGGTGTCCACGGCCAGTTTGCCTGTGGCCTCGGCCGGGCCGGGGCTGGCCACCCCGCACTGGGCCAGGTGGGAGTCCTGCCTCCGGGCCAGCTGGATCACGCTGTGGCCCGCCGGGAGCTTCCGGGGCGCGGAGGGGGCGTCCTCCAGCTTCCTGCTCTTGAGGTAATCCCCCAGCCCATCGCCGGCGTCTCCCAAGGGCCTCTGCGAGGGGTCCAGCAGCTCCTTCCGGGGCTTGGGGCCTCTCTTCTTGGAGCTGTCCCCTGGCGAGCTGGGCTTGTCCTCCACGCGGCCGGCGCCCCTGTCCCTCTCCCTCTCTCGCTCCCGGTCCTTGTCCCGGTCCCGAGGGGGCTCCACACGGCAGGTGCTGCTGGTGCTGCTGCTGCTCCCGGGCGGGGACAGACCCATGTTCCGGAGGCCCTCTCGGGCTCGGGAAGTGGAAGCCAGGTCCTGGGGCGAGCGGCCAGGGTAAGGGATCCGGAGGCCCCGGGCAGAGTCGCTTCGGAACTCGTACGTCTTGGCCTTGGCCTTGGCCTGGGCCTACCGAGGAAGGCGGTGTCAGCAGTGGGGCAGGGCCCTGCCCACACTCCTCCCAAGACCCCTCCTCCAGACAGCCTCTGGGTTTCCCCCGCAGAATTTCTGGACGGGTGGGGGTGGGGTGGGTGGGGGTGGGGCTGGGGGTGGCAGTCTGGGGGAAGGGGTGGGGAGTCACAGGGACCAGCCATTCACAGCAAGCACACTGCCTGTGTTCACTACGTCTCTATGGGGAAGGCTGGGGGCGGGAACTTAGAGTGGCTAAGGCCCTCCCACAAGACAACCCTCGGCACAGCCACTGACCTGGTCCACGGCCTGTCTGGGGGTTCCCTCCTAGATTACAAATAGACAAAGTGTGTGGACACCCCGTTGGTTCACCAGCCCGCAGGGTCAACACTGCTGTCCACCACCGGACAAGCCCATCCTACCTTGAGGAGGAAGGTTTTGGGTTTGGGTCCTCGCTTCTTGGGGCCGTAGAGCTCCATCTCGCGTTCCCTGGAGGAAGGAGGGGGGAAGGTGAGCGGAAGGGGCGAGAGGGGCCGGGCCGGGCCGGTCCAGGCTGGGGAGAAGCCGCCGCCTTGTGTCTGAGGGCGAAGCGGAGGCCGGAAGGGCCTGTACCTCTCCTCGAAGGCGGCGAGCAGGCGAGCATCCAGGATGTTTTCCTCCGGCTCCCAGGTGCTGTACCTGGAGGGAGGTAGGAGGCAGGGGCGTGAGCCGGGGGCGGGGAGAGAGCAGCAGGGGGGAGTGTCTGTCTGTAACTTTTCTCCTTCATTGTGTTGTATTTCAACATAAAGGGGGGAAAAGAGGAAGAAAGAAACCTCCCGAATAACAGCCCGGGGTTGAGCATTGCATATAACCTACTTACTTCTGCGACCAGCCCTTCCATTTCACGAGGTATTCCATGCGGCCCTGTGGATGCAACGGGGGGGATGTGTGTGTGCACGGGAGTAGTGCATGACGGGGACACAGAAATACATGCAAAAAATGCATGCACCGAATGAATGCCTGGGATCCTGTCGCAAAGGACACGAGTCCACGGCATCGCCCCCTGCACGAAACGCTGCACAAAGTGCATGCACCGGCATCCACCCCCACCCCGCCCCCCACTCATGCAATCTGTGCATCGCTGCAAGTCTAAGGAAAGCGCTTGGGCTCAGAGCCGCCGCCGCCGCCGCCGCCACGGCCGCGGCCGCTGCTGGGACCTGGGGGAAGGGAAGCTGGGCTGCAGCAGGGGGAGGGAACCTGGGCCGGGAGGGGAGGGCCCGCCGGCCTCGGCTCCAGGCCCAGGGGCACCTACTTTCCGTATGCGCCGTTTCAGGAGGGCTTCGGCCGCGAACACCCGCTCCCCAACCGCTGAAAGCTCCATGTTGACTCGCCGCTTCCCCCCTTGGCTGCTTCCAGGAGCAGAAAAGCAGCAGCCAGCGCACGACAGACCATAATACTCTGCCGCTGACGTCAGTCTCCTCCCCCTCCCGCGCGCTCGCTCCCTCCCCGCCTCCCGCCGCTCCCCGCTCCCCCGCCCGGCCGCGCGGCGCTTCCTCCCGCCCCACGTGTTGCTAACGACGTTGCTAAAGCCGAGCGGACGGGGGCCGGCTCCCCCGCGCGCTGATTGGGCGGCCGCCGGGCCACGCCCCCTCCCTTTCTGCCCGCGTTGCTACGTGACCCGCGTTCCGATCGCCAGGGGGCGGAGCCGCGGCCGCTCCGGGGACCGAGCGAGGGGGTGGGGGCCGCCGCCGGAAGTGACGTCGCGGAGAGGGCGGCGCGGCCGCTGTCAGTCTGCCGGGCTGGCGAGAGGGGCCGCCCGCCCTGCGTCTCCGCCCCGGCCCCTTCCCCCTCCGCCGAGCGGTCCCTCCGGCGCTCCGGGCTCCCCGCCGCTCTCGCCGGGACCCCGCGGCCGTGTCAGCCGGGCCCCGCCCTCCCGGAGACCCCCGGCCCGCCCCGCCGCCGCCGCCCGGGCTCGCGCCCTCCCTCCCCCCGGCGCCCGCCGCACAATGCACAATGCACAGGTGCTGGGGCGCCCTGGCCGCGCCCGACCCCGGAGCCGCGACGCGCCCCTCGCCCGCGTCTCCTCTCCGCCCCCTCCACGGAGCGCACGCCCGACCTCCGGTCTCCACGGCAACGGCCCCCCCCCGCCGCCGGGCCGTCCTCGGACAAATCAAAGTGCCTGTGTCTCCGTCTCCTGTCGCACGGCCCTGCCCTCGGCCACCCTCCGGGCCCTGCGGACCGGCCTGGGCTGGAGAGCGCGCCCCCAGCCCGGAAGCCGAACCCAGACCCAAGGGGGACCCACGGTTCTGTCCCTCCGCGCCCCGGGACCCCGCGGAGGGACTTTGCGCGCCGTCTCCCGGCGTCCCGAGCGGTCCCCGCGCCCGCAGCCACCTGCCCCCGCCGCCCGCCCGCCCGCGCGGCTCGTCCCCGCCGCCTCCGGTCCTAGTGTGGCCGGCCTCCGCTCCGCCGCCCCTGGAGCCGGGACCGGCGGGGGCTGAGCACACACCTCCTGTCCACGGCTCCTCCCGACGTGCGACACGCACTCGGCGAGAACACGCGTGGCGGGCGCGCGGCGGGGTCCGGTGCGGTGCAGAGAGGGCTCGGCCTGCGGGGCCGTGGCCGGGGCGGCGGCGGGAGAACAGGACAGACCGGGCCGCCGTCCCCGCTGCCGCCCCGCTGCCGGCACGGCTCTCGCCCCGGGAACCCAGGGCTCAGAACATCGACGCCCCGGAGTGAGCGGCTCCCGGAGGGCGGGGGGAGGGACAGGGACGGAGAGGGCGCACAGCCACCAGCCGGCCTCCGGGGAGCCGGACCCCGGCGCCGCGTCCCGAGTTCGGTGCGCGCGGGCGGCGGGCGCAGCGCGGCCCTGGCGCCGGGGACAGCGGCTCCGAGCCCACCGCCCGCTCCCTCCCCGCGCCGCCCAGCAGACGCGGGTTCCAGGTTCGGGTCTCCTTCCCAAACGCCCCCGGGCGGAGCGGGGCCGCAGTCCCGTCCCTCGGGCACTCCGCGTCGACGCCCCGGCCAGCCCGCCCCGGAGAGCCGCCCGCGAGAGGCCGCGTCCTTCATCATAGAATCATTCCCGGTAACAAATAGTTTCGCCGGCCGGTGCCAGCGGGACAGCTGTTTCTGTTTAAGCTTAAATACTTTCCAACAGTTTGGGCAGTAAAAATAAAGTTGGTCTCCGCCGCCTCCGAGTGTCTGGTTTCCCCGCCCCAGAGAGCCCACCCTCCGCCGGGCCGCGCCGTCTGCGCCCGCCGCGCGCCCCCCAAGCCCTGCGCCCCCGCACCGCGTGCCCCTCCCGGAGCCTGCCGCCCCCCGCATCGCGGCCGCCCCCTCCCGGAGCCTCCGCCCCGGCCCCGCGCGCCCCCTCCGGAGCCCGCCGCCCCCCGCATCGCGGCCGCCTCCTCACGGAGCCTCCGCCCCGGCCCCGCCCGCCCCCTCCCGGAGCCCGCCGCCCGCCCCCAGGCCCGGGCCTGCGCCGCCGAGGGCCGCGGCTCCCGGCGGACGGGGTTTCCGCAGCCCGGTCCCGGGTGTGCGGTGCCGTTACCACCTGGCGCAGAGGTCGCCGGTTTCAGTTTCACGCTGAGAAAGTTCGCTGCCCTGCTCACTCCCCGCGTTTCTCTTCTTTCCGTTTTTCTCTCCCTCCCTCCTTCCTCCCTCTCTCCTTCCATCTCTCCTTCTCTCTCCTTCTCTCTCTCTCTCTCCCTTCCTCCCCCTCTCGGTCTATAGCCCCTTCCCCTCTTTCCCGCCGCCCCAGCCGCCGGGGCGGACACGCTGGTTCGGAACCAGATCGCCGTGGGAGGTGGTTCCGTTCGCAGACGTCGGGGATTCCTGCGGAGCAGGGCAGAACTCGATCTCGAACCCAGTCCTGGCGGGAAACCGGCCGGTGGCGGGACGTCCTTCCCCCTCCCCTCTGCCCCTCTCCCCGCCTCCAGCCGTCGGGGAGAGTGGGGCGCAGAGCCGGAGCCCTCAGGCGGGTGGCCTGCACTCCCCATAGCCCAGCCCCTGAGAGGCAGCGATCTGAGAAAGGATTTGTGGACCCAGCACCGGGCCGGGCCGGAAGGGTGCCTGTCTGTGCCAGGAGGGGGCGCCAGCGGGGGGCCCCCCACATTTCTCATTGAACCTCTGTTCCTCCATCAGCAGTTCTCACACCTCCCTTCGCCCGCACAGCCGCTCCTCCCGCAGAGTGAGAGCCGGGACTCCCCGGAGCTCCTCCTGGAGTAAAATCAAAGCTTCCAGAGCCGGGCTCCCTGCGCCGCCGCTGCGGTGAATAAGGTAACTGCTCCTCGGACCAGCCCATATGGCTGCAATTTGAGCGTCTTTGGAGGAGACAGTGCGTGTGCTGGGGCAGGGGCCGGGAAGTGAAAGTGGAAATCAAAAGCTCTCCGATCGCATTTTTAGGAAGGAAATTGTCGGCGATTCGCTCTGCAGCCTCCCTCCACCTCCACCGGGTTCTGGAAGGAGCCGGCTTCTCTGTGCGCCAATGCAGGCGCTGGCCCGCCTGGGTCGCCCGTCTCCTGCACCCCGGGGTCTCCTCTCTGATTCTGCACCCACGTGGGCACACACCTTCCACTTCCCTTCCCGACCGAGGACCTCCAACCTGCCCCCGACGCCGGGAGCCTGCCCGAGCCATCGCCCGACCCTGGAAGGTGCCCAGACTCTGTGCTCTGTGCTCCGGCCTCATCCGCACTAGGGGCCATCTTAGGCCTCCAGGTACCCGCTGCCAGGGCACCCGGCCGGGGGAGGCAAGGCCAAGGTTGGCCTCCTCAGAGGGCCAGGCAGGACGGGCCGCCCCGTGAGGCGCTGGGCTCCTGGGTTGCCCGCCAGACCAGCAAGCCCCAGCGCGTCCCCTCGCCCCAGGGGGAGGTCAGGCCCTGACGCGTTCTTTGGGAGCGTTTCAACGCCGTGGCTTGGCGGGCGTCGGACCTGCTGGGTCTTGGCCACAGACACGGGCAGATCTGGAACCCAACCTCGTGCCTCGGGCGTGTGGGCAGGCAGCTGTGAAGTGAGCCGCGGGGCGGTGGCCCGGCCTGGGCGCAGCTGCTGGGCCCGGGGCTGACTGGATCCGGCCTGGCATTCTCCCACCCCAGCCGGACACCCACGGGTGCTGATCGCCCACTGCTGGGGGAGCCGCAGGGGTGGCCCAGCACCCTGCAGAGACCTGGCCTGGGCTCCAGCTCCTACTTGGTCGCCATCCTTGTCAGAGTCCCTGGGACTGGCGGCGGCAGGAACTTCCCACAAGCCCCACTCCCTCCACAGGGTGGGGTGCGGGGCCTTCCACATCAGCCCTGAAATCCCGGGACCCAGACCAAGCCCCTCCGGGCGTCCAAGGAGGCGTGGCGCCCCTCCCAGGCAGACAGCCTTTCCTGAGCAGCTGTGTGGCGCCCGCATTTCCCCACGTAAGAGCCGCACCGACCCGGTGCGATCCAGTCCTTCCCCCACCCCCCAGGCTGAGCAAACTTTTCGGGGGAAACGAAGTGGCCCAGCCAAGGGCACAGCAGGGCTTCTGCCTCTAACCCTGCTGCGGTTCCGCACCCAGGGGGCACTCCAGCTCCCGCAGGGCTCCCAGGAGGGCGTCCAGGGAAGAAGCCCGTGGCCCTGAGCAGGTGGGGGGGGGGCAATGCCAGAACCAGCAGTCTCCTCCTGCTCAGCAGGGGTGCTGTTGGCAACAAAGATGAGGCTAGAACAACGGTGGGGGAGGGACTCGGGAGCCGTTCACCCCTCCCTCCAGGCTGGAGGCTGGAGAACTCTGTCTTCCTTCCTGAGAGAGCTCAGTGCTAAAATGTGGGCTCCAGCACCAGCCTCCCGGGCTCCAGGCCACTTCATAGCCGGTCACTCCCCCCGTGCCTCTGTCCCCAGGACGCTTTCCGAAAGGAAGGTGACCGTGCGTGAGGGCTCTGAGGTGTGAGCACTGCCACCAGCAGGCAGGCAGTGCACAGCGGGTGCTCATTATTCCGTCAGCATCCCTGATCTGGGACCAGGGTAGTGGGTCTGGTTTGGGGGGTGTCCAGGGAACCCAGTGTCAGTCTGTCCCTGCTGCCCAGGGGGTGCCCACAAAAAGAGCCGGTGCCCACTGACCTGCACAAGGGGGAGCCCTCAAACCGTCTAGACTGGCCCCTTAGGGTGCCTCCCCAGGACCCGTCCCACAGACAGGCACCCGCGGACCTCGCAGCCCAGGGGGCGCACTGCGGAGCCATCCACAGCTCTCCCAGAAGGCCGCCTGGCGGTGCTTATGGCATGCGGGAGGCACCCTTGGGGGGGTGGGGTACTCGAGCTGCACCCGTGACTGTCCTGCCGAGAGGATGGGGTCCGAGAGTGGGTGGGTCCCGGCTTGGATGGGGGCATGTTTCCATCGCCCCTGGAGATGGACTTAGACCCCAC